CTCACAGCTTTGCTGCTGTTCAGCTCTGGGTTCAAGCTTGGCCAAGATTTTCACCCATGCTAAATGTGCAGCCTGTACAATAAAACAAATAAGCATCAGTACTGGCGCTCCCTCTTTCCCTGTGGATGTGTATCTCACTCCTCTCTCCCTGCAGCTTCCCACTGTGTTGAGACAGCACCTCCCGTGCCTCGGCTTGTCCTGGCAGAGCAGGAGGCCGGGCAGTGGTGGCTGCACCTCCCGCGGTGTCCAACACCTTTCAGCCCCCTTTGGAGAGAGCTTCCATTGGCAGGTCCCTCTTCTATTCTGCTGCTGCTTTTCAGGACTTGTGTAAAAACCTAATGGCCTTTGAGACTTTGGCTCTTCCTCCAGCACTGGTCAAAACAGACCAACAAATTCAGAAGTTATCAGGCACAGATGAGCGGCTTGCAGACAAAAATCTCATGCCCCTCCAGACTACACAGTGCCTCAAGCCAGATCTTGTTCTAGCAATTTATGCACAGTCTTGTTGTTTGGCTGCTGCAGCTCACATTAACCTGTGCTTGTGCTGCATCAACATGCATTTACCTCAACTCACTGAATGCCACCATTCTCCTGTAGTTTGCAGGCAGATGTTATACAGCCCATCTTATTAAAGCAGAGTTCTTCAGCACAGAGGAAATGACACCTCTATTTCCAAGTGAATGAATATTTTTGGTATCAAAACAATGACAGAAGAAAAATAATTACCTTCTATAATCACAAATTTGTACCGCCTTAGCTTATATTTGAAGAAAACAGTGAGACGTCACAGATCCATAAATCCTCTAAATAAAGAAAGCCAAATACAACTTAGAGACCAGAAAATGCCCACTAATGGTATGGAAAATGCAGCTATTGAAGAGACATTGTATATTACATTTGTACATCTTAAACTGTGTAACGTCAAAGAGAAAAAAGGTGTGCTAATTATTTTTTCACTCAACCTACCCAAGTTCTATACAACATTCTAATAACAATTGCCAGGACCATGGAATAAATTGCACACATTTTCTACATTTAACTGTTACCTGATGAATAGGAGTATTATAGGGATTATTCCTCTTAATGACAAATCTAATCTCCAATGTAACAGTTGGTGATGATGAGTGCTTGTGCTATTCAAGGTAAAAATGAATTTTTCTATGTGCTCTACTTCAAAGGATTTTATCCAACTAAAAAAAAGAGAAAGCTACATAAAAGAGAAAATAGGAGCATGAACTCTGGATTGAAAAGGAGGATAAACTCTGATTATTTTAATGTTTTGTACAATCCAAAGTTGTTAGAAAAACATAAAGCGTTTCTTATATTAAACTATTGACTTGAGAGGAAAATGAAAATGCTCACATGTTTCCTAATGTGCAGATGGACAAGTGCAAAGCTTTCAGTAATGATAGCTCATGGAAATAAAACAAAAATACTGCAAATCCGGATGTCAAGCCAAGCCTGCTGAATTGCCATTGTTAGGTGCCTATAATACTACAGGATTTATTTTTCATTTGAAGAAATACTGTTCTTAGTCCACAGCCAGATATGTTCAGAGGGATAGCATATTACACAAAGTGCTATGATTCATACCTCCTCCTGCCCCAGCCTCGCTCTTCTCTGTGGATAACATCCCTGACAAATGATTTATCTTCAGCCAGCAACAGCAGCGCCACAAGGAGTGTCTGAGGAACTTTCTACTTGAGGAGAGCATGCAAGGCAGTAAAATAACACAAATCTGGACAGGTACCTGCTTGAGGACATCACCACTTATGTTAACACAGGGAACAGAAATACAACAAACAAACAAACAAACAAATAAATAAATTAGATGCCCATTTCCTTTCTGCTGACATAACAAACCCTCCTTAGATTCCTTTGACCCACAAGCTCTGACACCTTAGAATAAGGAAGGGGAGGGTAGAGAGAGGGGGAAAAGCCCCAACCAACTGAAAACCAGAAATGTGCTTGCTAAGTAGGGTTTTATAAAATACTGCAGCTCTCAGTCTTAAAATGTCTAAAATGAAAATCTGCTGCAAGAACATAATAAAAATAAAGCTGATAATGTGCTCCCCTAGGAAGAAGGAGCACATGCTGCTCCCCAGTACCCAGAAGGCAGTACTCCAGTGAGAATAAAAACAACTTACACAGTAAGATGCATCCCTAGATTTGATTTAGGGATATCAGAAAACTTTCAAAATAGACCTGGCTTAGGATGAAATTAGTGCATGGAAAATGCCTCCCTTGAAACAGTGCCCTGTTATATCATTTACCTTCTCACCCAGGAGGAATCCTGTCTGATCCCCAAGCCCTGCAGTGCCCCATTCAGTCACATTATTAACAGAGCACAGCAATCAATCCTGTCTCACTACAGATGACAGTCAATGAGCATCAGGGAACAAGGGCCTGTTACATGGATATAAATCCACATTCAGTTAGCTGGCTTTCCTTGGATACAGTAATCTAACAACTTCGATGGCCCAGTAAAATTATCCATCAGGTACCAGAATTTTGAAATTCATATGAATGTACTTATATGGAATAAAATCCACAGAACCTGTAATTGAATTCAAGAGCGATGCACATACATGAACATGCACATTCCAGCATTAAGAGGACAGTGTGGGACTTGCCTATTAATTGCATATTTCTCATGAAACTTGAAATTGATTATCAGGTACTGTGACCAAGTTTCAGGGTCAACATAATGCTTTGATTAATTGGCCAATGATTCTTCAGCATTATTATGCCTCATTTTCCTTATCCCCTACTCACATTAGTTACAAAACAGTGATCTCATATCTGATGTTCCAGTTAACATATAGAGAGCACTACGGACAAAGAACCCCATGTGAAATTTCAGCCACTGCCTACTTAGGCAGGGAAGACTATTGGAATCAAAAAAAATAATGAAAAGTTCCTAGGACCCATCTTTGCTCTCACTTGCACCAAGAACTGAGACTGTCAGAAGTTTTCTTACAAGAAGGCAAGAATCTGGTGTGGGAAACAAGAGTATTGCTCCCATTTTACCACCTTCCCTCAGAGGTTCTTCCTGAATTATTAGGAACAATGAAGTTATGAGCCTTGCTGTGCTTACAGATAGCATTTTTATTTTTAAAAAGAAGACATTACTAAAAGTGTATGAAATATCAATAAAGCAAAACTAACTAGGAACCCTTTCCAAAACATTTTAAATAAAGCAACAAAATTAAAAATTGCAAACATGCTCATCACAACATGCTTATACTTCAGTACAAGACAGAATTCCTTGCACAGCACTTTTTGCTGATTTACGAGAATTTTCTACAATCTGAAGTTCTCTAAAGTTAAATTGCACTTCAAAGTTTCATTTACACACTGTAAAAATGATATAGTTAAGTTTTCAATAGGGAATGAATTATTCATTAAAGAAGATAATGGTGTTAAACTCGTCCAAGGAGCTATAACATTAGCATAAAGAATGCCTTATGTCACATTAATTTTAAAAACAGAAAACATACAACACAAAAGATATTGAGCCAAGGATTTGGGTTTTGGTTACATTAAACAAAAAGCAATTAGTCTTACAGCAACCTTTTCCTAGCATTTTTACCATACTGGTAGGTATTTTACAAGCCATTTGTTCTTAATTATTAATTGCATCAGGATAGGCTGGGTACAACATGCCTCTATTCTGATTTTATTATCTTTGCTTTTGCTTTTTCTGCAAAGATGCAAAATATAAGTACTTAAAAAGAAAAAAATATTTTTTTCATTTACATCTCAGTGGTATAGAAAGAATGTGTATAAGAATATACAAAACCTATTTTTTTAAAAAAATAAGACTATCTATGGAAAAAAACTGCCCACCTACACAAAAAAAATTACAGCCTCCCAAAAAAGAAATTACTTTCTCAAAAAAATAGTCAGCTATAATAAAACAAACAAACTAGACTCCCCCAAGCTCTTCCACATATATATATATATATATATATATATATATATATATATATATATATATATATTAGTAAGGTAGGACTTTGAGGAATTAAATCAGTATCTGTAAAACAGATCTTAACTTCAATTGCCATCTGATTTTATTTACTGACAGAACAGTGCCATTTCTTAGCTCCTTCTTGACATAATTTCTGTAAAATAGAATCACTGCTACTTCCTAGTTATTTTTACTTTGTTAAAACTAGTTATCCTAAATTCTTTTGGCAAATAAACTTCAGGAATAAAATATTTTCTCCTATACCATCTGTCTTCTCTACTTATACATTCTTGCTATTGTGCAAAGTAGCTGCTTCATCAGTTTGCTGATAGAGTTTAATGAATAGCACTTGCCTTATTTTGGAAGTAAAACTAGTTTTACAGGTCTTTTGCCTGCTTCTTATAATTTGTTTTACAATTCATTAGGATCAAACTAAAGACAGGTTTTCCAAGTCAGGTAGAGAAAGTCTTGCACTGGAAAGACAGGGGGCAATGGCTCTAGCAGTCAGAGAATTCTGATGGATTTTCCACACATTTTAAAATTTAATATTTTTTACTTATTTTACTTGCATTACCTACTTCTTAGACTTTGCTATACCAATCAATCCACTGAGAATTAGGAAAAACTCAGATGAATCAGATTTTGCAAAGTTGATACAAATTCAAGATACCCCTGTAAAATACTGACTTCATACTAAGGAGTGAGGGATGTGGATAGCATCCTAAAGGCAGGTCTTTGTTATTCCAGTGATTTATTGGCTCTTGCAGTCTGACAGAAGTGAATGTTTGTTCCCAAAACCTTCTCGAGGGAAGGCCTAGCAGCACTTGCCCTTGTTGCAGAGCAAGGTGACTGGACAAGCTGATCTCCCTTCCAGCCTAAGTTCCTAAAGGTTGCCTCACCCTGTAAATCCTTCACAGAGGGTTGAAAGGCCATTCCTTCATTCCCAGTCTCTGATTGTAATGTTTATGTAGCCATTCCCTTGAGTTATTTCATAAGGCACAGAGTACAGGACAATAAAAGCACGTACCTTTCAGTTGGCTCCATGGAAGAGCATCTTTTGTACTCACTCTGGCACAATCCCAGGGCCCATGGAAGTGACACTGTTAATGAAACCAGGATTAAGAGAGTTGTATTGCTTCATTCTATTCACTGGAATTTGTGGGCAAAGTTCATTCTATGTCACAAATCATTCCATAAAACTACTTATTTATTTTAGGCATATTCCAGATCCTGCAGCTCTAAGAGCAATCTCAAAAACATGAAATACATGCAAACTCACTCAGCTTTCTTCTTCATAGCCTGCTTGAAGTGATAGCCCTGGGAAGCAGAAAATAGCCTGTTTTTCTAAATATTTGTTAACTAAAACCCTGAGGTCCCCCACCCCCACACTATTAACTGTTTCCGTGCTGATGATATTAAGAACACCTGTAGCCTGTATGCTTGCTACAGTCTCATGACAATTCAGCACCCCCTCAGATACCACTCTCCCCATCTCCGATCTCTCCTCAGCAGCTTTCGTAACAGAAAAATTGTTTGCAAATGCTCAAAACACATCGGCATCAAAAATGGGGACAGATAAAACCAGTTCTATTTAGCAGCTCACAAAAGAGCCCAGCATCCACTGTGCCAAATGCAGTAAACTCGTGCTCATTTAGTTCAGAACTTTGTACACTTACAAAAATCTGCTACACAATTTCAAAGACTGTCTGTATCTTGGGGAGGACAGACCTTCACCACAATAGGTGACAAATGTTCCTTAGCTCAAGATGAACCCCAGGTTCTGCCCAGCCCTCAGCTCCAGATGAACCCCAGGTGTTTCTGCCCAGCCCTCAGCCACAATTCCTCCTCAGTAATTACTGCTCACAGACATCTTCAATCAGGCAGTATCTTTTAGCAGCATTGTGAATGCCTTATGTGAATCCCAGTTCCAACTGGCTTTAGATTAGGCATTTAATATACAGATTTGGGACTGTGACAGGATATAAAATGCAGAATATAATGCAGAATGGAAGCCACAAATAACATATCATGATCATAGAACTTAATATTTCTTTTCATGGAAATTACTTTGAAAGAAAATAATAATAAAAGCATCCAATGTCAGAGAAAGTCATACAGCAATCTGACAGAGTAATATAGATGCTAGTTTAAATAATAAAGAGATCATATGTAGATAAAACTTCTGTGTGTCTAGACACCTGCCACAACCAGCTGGTTTTCAGAGGCAGAGGCTCTGATAATTCACTACTTTAGTGACTGTAAGTCTAGTATACAAAATAATGGCTTTTTAGATACAACTGCTGTATCTGATGTACAGCAATGCCAAGGAAGAAGAGTCCCTCACTCTGTCATGGAATGACTATATAGAGCCATGACCTGAAATTCATCTCAGATTAAAGAACAATCATACTCAAGGGGATTCAGGATCATAAACAGAGTAATTTAGACCGTGACTAAGGTTTGGGGCCTGAATTTCTGAAATCAGGGAAATTTTGAGCATAAACAGCTGTAGGTACAACTAATTGCATTTAAATGACCAAAGCATATCCACAAAACAATGACCTTTAGGATGCTGAATCCCAAAGGCAAGTGAAGCAGGAGACAGGCTATGTAGAAGCTGACAACACAGAGTGTGGGAGGCAATAGATGAAAGTTACACAGATTTATTAGTTAAAGTTAGATAAAAATCTTTTAAATACTTTTAGGTCAGATTTACTTTAAGTCACCTAAATCTCTCTAGGCTGAAAATCTGTCTTCTTTGTGAAAAATCTTGACTACAACAGAACCCAGAACACCAGGAGAATAGCCTGTCTCATAGTCCTTGGAAGAGTAACAAAGAAAAGCAAAATAAAGGAAGAAAAAAATCACAAGAAACACTACAAATACATATGAAGATGGCAGCTCTCTCTCTCCTCCCACTCCCACAAAAATACGTGTGGACACTTTTTTTTTTTTTCCTATCCCTCACAATGTTCACTAGTTTCCAATTTAATTTTCTGCTCCCAGAAGCCAATTATCCATGAACAGGTAAAAGGGAAGTATAGACAAAGGAGGTGGGCTAGTTTAATTAGCACACAGGCAAGCAGTTTTACTTTGGTACTCTGGCCTCTCCCAAAGAGACAATGCTCAGCTTTCAGACCCTATTAAAAATGCATTTATTTCATATTCTCTCATAATACTCTCCATAAGGAAAGAAATGAATCACAGTGCATATTTTGTGAATGATTTATAAAGTGGCATTACAGGTTTATGATCTGAATCACGGGTCCTTGGGGAAGTGCAGCAGTGCTTCTGTTTTAGGAAACTTGAAATGGTTAAAACCTATTTTACTCCTTAGTATTTGACACTGAGGAACAGCCCTTTTACTTCTCCCAGGTACCCCCACACACCAGCACTGTGAGCACCAAAACCATTCTCTCTCCAGCCCTGGGGAGAAAGGACGTTTCCAGTTCTGGAACAACTGTTGAATAAGAACATCCCAATGCTTCTTGAAAGGTATAAACCAGGATTTAAGCAGAAAGAAGTATGTAAAAAACAAAACCAACCAACCAACCAACCATAGCACTTTATTGTCTGGGATTCTCCAGCCCCACAGAGACCTAACTTGCTTTGATTCTGGCCAGGTCATCCTGATGAAGATGAAAAAGCAAGAAAGAATCAGGATAGCCTAGGATAGGAGTAATGTGCATTTTCCTGAAGAAGCATCAACAGATTGTTCCTTCCAGGTAAACAGCTTGAAAAGGGTTTTCTCAGGGCAAAGGGTTTTCAGGGGTATTTTGGGCTCACCTTGCTGAAAACTGCTCAGATCAGAAAAAAACAAATCTCCCCAAACAAAGAAAGAAACAAACAACAAAAAACCCCCCCCCAAAAAAAAAATCAAAGCCCACACCCCCTGAAAGAAACCACCCCCATCAAAAAGCTTTAAGCTTTGTGAAGTTGATGGTGAATATCTGCCTTTGTGCACTTACATACACTTTTGTCCTATATAGACCAATTCTGCAGTTCATATGTAATTTAAAAGCTTTCTGCAGTGATGCTTCCATAGTCAAGCATCAGGACAGACTATAAATCATATGATACACACAAAATACGTGACCAAAACAAGAAAAAAACCTGGCCACAAATCTGTCAGTAATATCTGTATCTCTGTGGTGGGTGAGAAGGTGGCAGACAGACATGCTTGGTGCTCAGCTCAGTTTGAAGCAGGGAAAAGGGACATTGAATAGTTGATCTAAGCTTGCACTTGGATTCATCCCCAAAAGCTACATTCAAAATACAAGCTCATTCTAGTCTTTGCAAATGGCTTTGTGTTCCCAAGATGCACATGCTAAACTCAGCTGACGTTTCCACACGAGCTGTAGATTTGCTAGGAAAAAAACTACTGACTCATACTTCTTTGTGGTGGTGCTAAAAGAAAAAAAGAATGCTATCCCTGAAACTCTTCCCAGATAAATGCAGCAAGGATCAGTGCCACATCATACAAATAACATGACATGAAAGTTGAGGCACACTGTAGGTAAGCCTCCAGTGTTTGGATGAATTCAGTACAGTGAAATGCTTACGGAGCTACAGATCTTCCAAATGGGTTTCAGATGTGTTTCTAAATATGGGGCTTTTGGTCACAAGCTACAGATTCACAGGAGTAAGAGAAATGCTCCTCCTAGAACTTGCACTTAGACAGTACAACTGTAACCCCAGCCTCTGTGAGTCTTGTGGTTTCATAGGAACTTAGCCTTTTCTTGTGGGTCCAGGGAGCTGCAAAAGCTCATCCCTGGGGGCCACTGAAAATCCAGTCTGCATTTTCTTCCCCTTTATTAGAGATAAGCAAGTTTCCATGCAAAAAAAAAAATCTTTTTTAAATGAGAGTTATATATCAGAGAGAGAGCAACCACAAAATGCTTTATTGCTACTGGGAATTACTGTGTTGATTGAATTCTATCTTCCCTAACCTCTATTTTTCATGTAAGTTTTCATCTTTGAAGGAAAGAGATGGTAGAAAGAAATAGGTGTTGACAGAAAAAAAAAATGAACAGCTTTTGCTTGACTGGGGTCTACAATTCAGCCACTGTGCCTCAGAAGTAATCAAAACCAATAAGTGTACACACACATCTATCTGCTACCAATTAGGAGTGAGATGCAGGTGATGTATATGATGCATGAATGAAGAACTTTTGTTTTCATTTAGTCATATAACTTATGAAAAACTGAATATAATTCTACCACAATCATTCTTTCTGCTACATTTCCTCTTCCTCTTATCTGAAATAATTTTTTACACAGTTGCCCTCTCAAAAGTCTCTTTCAAAACCTTAAGAAAATTGAGTTCATTTGTGCAAAATTTCCTTGCCTATTTTTGCTTCTATTGCTAATATCCCAGGCTTTCTATGCATCTGCCCTTTAGTGCATATTGCCAGGGTGAAAACCTGTGTCCTCCTGGATTCCTGTAGGAATCAGCCAGCACTAGGAGAGAAACTATTTAATTTTACTCAAGATCAGGACAGCTGACTGTGAGTGTCCTGACAACACTCCTGTCTGTTCCTGAATGCCTGAAACTTCCCCACATCTGAGGTGCATTATAACATGAACATGACATAAATAATAGCCATGTCACATGAAGTTTCCCAAAAGTGCACTCTTATACATGTGGCCATCATGTCATACACATCACCTATCAGGGCACAACACTGTGCTAACATGGGAACTGAAAGCAGCAGAGCTGTAATAACTGGGGCTTCACACTGGAATTATTCTGGTTCTGGTTCTACAGCTGCCTCAGATAAGTCTACATGGTCTTAACAAGACCCTAGCAAATTAGAAAGATAAAGAAATAATAATATTCTGTAAATACACTGGGGATTGAAACTGCTAAAGAAGTAGAACTATTTGATCTGAGAAGGAAATGCTGGTAGAACTGTAAGTAGATTTAAATTGCTTGCAACCATTAACTTACAAAATAGAAGACAGTATCAGAGATGTGACAGCCCCATAGCTGAGCAATCCAATAACAAGAATATGCAAAACCTCATTGGTTTTCAGGTAGAGCTTAATACAAATATGGATTTCATAACAACTGACTAGTAGGCAGAACCTGAAAATGCAGATCTTTCTAGTCCCATGCTTTGTATCTTGCAGATCTGACGACTCCGTATGCTGAGACTTCTTATTTTAAATTGATCTGCAGTAATTGTTTTTATGGATACCATGATGGTATCATCTGTAGG